GGGGGAGGAGAAAGAAGAAAAGGGAGCGGCCGTTGGCCTGGTCAACTGTTCCAAGGCTGGAACTCCACCTCAGACCCCAGAAGCCGAAGGAGCTCGGGCTCGTACCGCACCAGCTCCACAGTCTCAGAGGAGCCTGGGGCTGATCTGTCGTCCATGCCTCCAGGCCTCTCGGCTGGGGTCAGAAGCTGACTGGAGGCCACCTGCCGGTAGAACTCAGCCTTGGGCAAGGTGGCAATTTCAAAGTGCGGGAACCGAGCCTGAAAGATCCTGGAGGAAAGCTTCAGCCTCTTCAGGACGTCGGTAAAGAGGAACCAGTTGCAGGGTCTGGAAGAGGCAAGAGTAGGAGTTAGGGAAGGGGGTTGGGGGGAAGCAGTGGGGTGCTGGGAACACTCCGGAGGGCCCAGGAAGGCTGCCAGTCTGGCTACCCCCGCCCCCAAACTAAACCATGGGCTCCTTGGGTGTCGCTAAGGTAAAACTTTCCTGTTCCCTCCAGTGGCCGAACCGCTTTCAGCTCCATCTCCAGCACTCAACCCGTGACTGACCTCTTCCCAAAAAGTGGGAGCGGGAGGGAAAAGGGGCCTTCCAGAACCTAAAACTCAGAGCAGGCATCCCCAGGCTTTCCCCCACACCCCGCGACTTGGAATTTACCATCTGCTGGGACCAGTTCTTCCCCCAACCCGACCCCTGCTCCCCCGTCTGGTTTCCCTTTCCTGTTCTCACTCCTGCTTCCCCTGCCTCCTTGTTCTCTGAGACCTTCCCCAACAGACGGGGAGCCGTGGAGAAAGGCCTAAACTGCGGGTAATCTAAAAGGCATTTCTCTTTGGCTCTGGAATGCATTAGACAAGTTTTTTCTCCAGCGGCAGCACCGTCCTTTCTGCAGGGCGGGAGCTCACATTACAGCCAGTCTGACTTTGCAGAGCATACCCGACTGGGCGGCAGCCTGGGGACAGCTGGGAGGGGTGCTAGAGAGGCCGCTCAGGGGCCACAGCTCCTCCCTTTGACCAAACCAGGAAGACACGCTGCATCCCCGCGTTAATGGGCCCCATTCCAAGGCGGTCCCTCCTCCCGTGGCACTGTCCGGCTCCCAGCGGCCGCATCGGCCTCCCAACTGGCTGCCCTCTGCCAAGAGTCACTCGGCTGCACCCCCACCCACCCTCGCTGGATCCTCTCTTACTATTCGTTTTCTAAAAAGAAAATCCGACCTTCTCACTCCCTGAACTGCTTTCCATGGATCTCCACACCTCCAGCAAAAAAAAAAAACAAAAAAAACAAGCCTCCAAATTCTTTACAATATTGCAAGACCTTTCAAACAGGACCCCATCCAACCTCTTCAGCCCAGTCTCCCCCGTCACACACACACACACACACACACACACACTGTATCCCCCCACCCCACCAAGTGCCAGCCATTGGATGAAGGACAAGCCCTACTTTCTGAACTTCCTGAACTTGTTAGCCTTTGCTTGTACCACACCCTCCATCGGCCTCTTGGGCCCAGCTCAGATGCCAGATCACCTGTGAAGTCTCCCCCCCCAACCCCCACCCCGCCCCGTGAAACTGGTCGCTCGTCCCATCTCTCACCGTCCCATGGCACTTGGTTCATACCCCCTTTATAATCCTTCGAACACAGCCTGTCTCAGAAAGGCTACAAAAGCAATGGAAACTGCTGTCTCCGTGGCACAGGAATGGGGGCTCAGGGTGGACTGGAACTCCCATCATTCACTTGACACCTTGCTCAACTGTGTGACATTTTTATTTTGTCTCTTATTAGAACTGACTGTATACTCGTCTGTCTCCTCCACTAGCCTGGAGATGCTCTGAAGACTGTATTCTGGCCCTCGGGGTTTGCCCGGTGCACCTGCTGAAGCCACGGGTACAGGACGGACTGTTCTGCACACCACATACCACTTCTGCCCAGACTCACACCCTTCTCCCGAACATGCAATGCCTTCCCAGGGACGGTAAATGCTCTTTTCGCACCATCAGGAAATGGAGTGCTCTGGGTTCAGAGGAAGGGACTATAGATACCATACACTTGGACCATCGCTTTAAAAAAATGGAAGAGAGCCCTCAGAACAGTTGGTAATAAGAATTCAGCTTTGCTTTGATGATTCTGAAGGCAGTTATGAACCCTGCAGGGCCTCAGGGTCATCATTCTACACCTTCCTTACTTCTTTTTTTTTAAGATCTTATTTATTTGAGAGAGAGAGTGCGTGCGTGAGCGCCAAGCACAGAGCGAGTGGAGGGAGGAGCAGAGGGGGAGGGAGAAGGAGGGGGGGAAGAATCCCAAGCAGACTCAGCACTGAGCACAGAGCCTCACTGGGAGCTCGATCTCATGACCCAGAGATCATGACCCGAGCCAAAACCAAGAGTCAGGAGCTCAACCGACTGAGCCACCCAGGCGCCCCTACACCCTCCCTACTTCTTGGAGAATCTGTATTTCCCATCGTGCTGCAGCTGTGGGGAAGGGCAGATTCCAAAGAGGCACAGGAGGACGGGAGGCCGGACTGGCAGGAGACCCAGCTTTGCCCGGACCAAGCTCTCAGCTGAAAACCTGCTCGCTGCCTGGCTCTCTGCGTGGCCAGTGGCCCTCGGTTTCCCCGTGTTCCGTCCACACCTGATGCACACTACCCTGGTCTTTTTACTGCCTGGGGCCCAAGATCCTGTTTCAGAGAAGGAGGTGCTGAATACTCTGGAGGAATTAATTAACTGTGCAATACTATAGCCCAGAGGCCCTGCCCCGCCCTCGGGGATCAGCTGATGCCCAGAAGAATAAGGACCAAAAGCCCCTGAAACCTGATCCCTACCAGTGTCATCATATAGGCTATTTTTATTCTTATCAGGCCCTGGGGGAAGGGATGCACAGAGCCTTGTGGCCCAATGGTTAGAGTCGTCAACTTGAGGGACTCACTTGAAGGGCTCCCGATCCCCCGTCCTCCCCTCTCTCTGCCGTGTGCGCTTCATGTACCATCACTTTTTAAACAAAAACAGGGTCGGGTACTTTAAAAATAAATTATCAAAGGAAAAGTATCCTTAAGAGTGTTTACAAAGGTATTTGAACTATGTGAAGACACCAAGAAGAAGAAAATACTGAATGATGGGGGCTAAGAACGAAAGCACAGGTCATGCAGCATCCTCCTAAGGAGCACGGCCACACGCTGCCATCCGGTGAAAGCCGACCAGAACCACAGCCCCGCAGGCCGACCAACTCCCTTCTGGATCATCAAGTAAAGATTAAACCGGGTTCGGTCTAATGGTGTCAGGTATATTCTAGTCTCCGAAAATGGGTGACACCCGTTAGTAATATCCAGTCATCTGAGAGGACACTGCCCGTGCCATCATCTCGTCAACACGAACGCTCCGAGAAAGCAGCGCGTGGGCTCCTTAAGGACCCCAGCAGCCATGGCAACCATATGTCGCGGCTTGTCCAAGAATCTCAGTTTCAAATATTCTGTCTGGCTGTTCCCAGAAACCACAAAAATGTTCCAGAGATTCTAATAGTTCATCAGCCCAAATATCTCCCAGATCATCTCTTACACCCAGGAACAGCAAGCAGAATCCTTCAGAGAACGAATCTAGATTTGGGGTTTGGGAAGGACATACAGTCAATACATCCGGAGCTTACAGCCTCTGTTCCAAACGTAACTGAGCAGGGCGGGAAAGTCAGGCTGGCCTTGGTCATATGTCAGCTTTCCCGAGCTCCAGCATTTGCTCGCCAGGTCTGGGCTTCCTTCTGGAGAGCTCCACCCTTCCCAGGGAGGCAGGCCAGGGGTTGCCAGGATCCTGGCACTAGGTTCCTGGAGATCTCTTAGACACTTACCCTCGGGACACTGACACTTGGAGGTTGTAGCAGGGGAGAAGAGGCTTGTCTGAGAGCTCAAACATAAAATCATCCTCTTCCACATCATCTCCTTCTTGATCAGAGTTCCCGGGAGGATTGTGCAGGAGGTCACAGGCAAAGCCATCTTTTTCCTCTGTAAGGAGAGCACATGGGATATTAGGACTTAGCTACATGCACAAAACTGAAGAAAAGAAATGCTCCAACAAGAAAAGGGGCCTGGGGGCGCCTGGGTGGCTCAGTCGTTAAGCGTCTGCCTTCGGCTCAGGTCATGATCCCAGGGCCCTGGGACTGAGCCCCGCATCGGGCTCCCTGTTCCGCGGGAAGCCTGCTTCTCCCTCTCCCACTCCCCCTGCTTGTGTTCCCTCTCTCACTGTGTCTCCCTCTGTCAGATAAATAAAACTTTTTTTAAGAAAAGAAAAGGGGCCTGAAGGTGGGTGATTAGGAGATAAACAACAAGCCCACAGACCCCTGGTCGGGGCCCAGTTTCGCTGATCCCATGGCTCCCACCCTTGGGAGGGCCCATGAAAGTTCTATCCCTGGGAGACATTATTTTGTGGCCAGAAATTCATTATACTCCTCCACCTTTCAGTTGGAATAAAGCCAGGTGATATGAAGCCTGCCGATACTACCAGCAGTCAAAGGCAAGGTAGAAAAACACCTGCCGGGCCTGCTGGGCCCTCAGAAGCCCAGAGGGGCCGCTCAGCCAGTCCCCTTCCCCAGCCGGCATGTCTGGGTGTGGCTCACTTCATTCCATCCCAACCTTCTCCTGCTCCAGCTTCCCCAGGGCTTCGGGGGTGGCCACCTCCCCCAATCTGCAGCCCTGGCCCAAGGGATGACTGTGAGCTGATGGGGTCACAGATAAAGACTCTTCCAAGAGAGGAAAGCCTGGGTCAGAGGCTAAGGGCTCGGGAGAGGGCAGTGGTCTCAGAAAGTGTGCACGGTAGGGGCAGGGCAGGGAGGGAATGAGAGTGGCCAGTGTGAGCAACGCCAGAAGAGAGGATGATGCACAACAGGGGCTTCTGGCAGGGTTAAGACAAAGCAAGGGAGGAGAAGGGCCCTTGGGGGACAGAGAAGGAAAACAATACCCGGGGCAGAAGGGGGAGAGGGCTAATGAGGGGTGGCTTTGTGGCATCTGAGTCTGGGGGGAGCATGGGCTAGGGTTTGGGTTGAAAGGGTCTGTAAGTTACTAACAGATGGAGAAAGGCTGCCTCCACAGGTTCACTCCTGTCTTTGAGAAAAATCCATGAAACCCAAAGCAATCCCCCATCTCTGAGCCATAGGCAAGCATGGAAGGAATCCGACTCCAAGCTTACCCAACACAGAACTGCTGTAAAAGTCCCAGGACACGCCAGGGTCACCCTCGGCCCGGCCCTGAAGATCCGAGAGGTGATCTGATGAAAGAAGAGAAAGCAGTGAGACAAGGAGGGTAGGCTGGAGAAGGATCTAGACACAAAGTACGTCCATAGAGGGCTAGGAGGACGGGAGAAGGGAAGGAAGGACCACAAGAGGGCCTGGGAGCTATGAGAGAGAGAGATACATTTCCTGCTGTTAATCAGAGGTTGCCAACCAGTAGACAGGAGCCAAATCTAGCCCACTGACCACCTGGAGTTTGGCCCAGTGTTTTAAACCAAAAAAAAAAAAAAAAAAAGTTAATTAACGTTGAAGTTTTTAAAATTGAGAGATTTCACCTAAAAATCCGGATTTCCAACTTTTCCTGAAAAAAAAAAAAAATCAGAAAATCTGGCAACACGGCATCCCGCATTCCTGCATGTCAACAGTTGGCTGGAGGGAGAGGCGACATGTGCGTTCTCCGGCTCAACAGTCCCCACCCAGCCTGCTCTGCTCTCCTCCATGATCAGCCCAAAGGCATTTAGGTCTGGGATCCCTGCTCTTAGTGGTGTAAGAACTGGACTCTGCGAGCAGAATCTTAGACCTATCCCAAGATTTCAATTCCCCCTGCAGGTCACAGTGTTCATATAGCCAATCAGGATCTCTCCAATTCAAAGTAAGATAAGGAAGCATAATTCCTTCTGTTTCATCTTTGGAAAACATGGGGGAGAGGGCCAAGTTTATCCTCATAAAAACCTTTTGCTTCCACTCCTAGGTATATACCCAAAAGAATTGAAAACAGGTGTTCAAACAAAAACTTATACACAAATGAATGTTCATAGCAGGTCTACTCACAATAAAAAAAAAAAAAAAAAAAAAAAAAGTGGAAACGACCCAAATGTTGTTAAGCTGATGAAGGGATAAACAAAACATGGTCTAGCCATATAATGGAATATTATGCAGTTATAAGAAAAAACAAAGTACTGAATGAACCCTAAAAACATTACACTGAATGCTACATGAATTAACCCTAAAAACATTACACTGAATGAAAGAAGCCAGACACGAAAGGCCATATACTGTATGATTCCATGTATATAAAATGTCCAGAACAGGCAAATCTAGAGAGACAGAAAGCAGACTGGTAGTTCGGAAGGAACAGGAAGTGACTGCCTAATGGGCACAGGGTTTCCTTTTGAGGTGATGAAAACGTTCGGAAACTCAGCGGGGATGGTTGCACAACGTTATGAATGTACTTAATGTCACTCACTGTACACTTCAAAATGGTTAAACTAGTACATGTTTTGCTCTAAGTATTTTGCCACAATAAACATATTCTAAACCACCTCTGCTTACTTGACCCGAGGACAGACAGCAGGTCGCCGCCCCGCCTCCTTATTTCCTGGCTGAGCAGCATCTGTGCGATTGTCTCACCTCGCAACCCCGCGGGGACAAAAAGCAGGTTTTCATGACAAACTCAACCGTGTCATCTGTGGGCCTGTGGCCCCGTGGCTGCCAATATGCTACCTAGCCCTGCTGGCAAGCTGACTTAGCTCTGTATGCGTGCTACCTGGCCTCAAGCGACACCTGGGCACAAGGACGGGCGAGAGTCCAAAGGGCATGGGCGACCTGAGGGCGCCCTCGCTGAGCCAGATCCCAGGGGGAAGGCGGCCGCCCCTCCTGAAGGCCCGAAGCTAGTCTCCCCCAGTGAAAGGCACCACCACACTCCAACAGCCTGCCCTTCTGGGTCACACATCCTCTCAGCAAAAATGCCTATTAGCTCTTGTGAGCTACTGAAAGAAATAAGTTTTTAGCAATCTTCTAGGAGATTACAGCTTTCTTCTGGCAGGAAAAAGCAGCCAGAGAGAGCTTTCAAAATAATGGCTGAGCAGCTACAGTGGGAAACCTTTACTCACATACATTGGATCTTTTTCTATGTACTCGGCAAAACAACACTGAGGTCACGACTGGCCGTTTGCGCACTTTTCTGGACCCCGTGCCCCTTGAGACTTGGAAGGAGTCTCTGCCAGAAGCATCAGTTAGGTACGTGCCCATTCTGTGCCTGGCCTTGTGCTAGGTGTCCTGGGAGAGGAAGGTGTGAGAGCCGAAGTTTCTAGAAGGCGGGCACCACGTCTGCCTTGCTCATCGCTCCCTCCCCATGGCCTAATAAGCCCAAGTTCCGGGCACATCGTAGGAGCGCAATAAATACACGGGGAAGAAAGGGAGGGAGGAATTACCAAGAGGTGAGACCAAAAGTAGCATGCTTGCTTAACCAGCAGGCCGAACCATACAGGCCCCGATGACTGCTGCCCCTGCCCCCCCGGGGAGGTCACACGGGGACTCCGGCAGGCAGAGCAGCCCTCGCTCACCACATTCCTGGGGCTCCTCTCTAGGGCCTGCCTTCAGAGCCCCCAGCATGGCACAGGCCGCTACTTCTCCCCGCAAACCTGGGGCCCCTGCAGGTGAATGTGCCTTTCCGAGGCAGCCCGGTGTGAATCGGCAGGAAGAGATGCGGCCGTGGAACAGGCCCGCGAGCTGCGCCTGAGAAGCAGCTGCGCCTCAGAAGCAGCTCTGGCCGGCCTGACGGTGCAGCTTCCGGTCCCGCCGCCGCACACGCCTCCGCGTACAATCAGGACAAGGAGTGCCTTGCCTCTCCCTTGACTGGCCCTTGCCCCCGCCCACCACGTCCAGTCCTTTACACTTTTCCTCTCCTCCAAGAAGTGCCCTCAGCCCGGCAGTCCTGCTCCCGGGTACGTGGCCGCGACAACTGCAAACAGGTGCTCACGCCCATGCGCGCACACGTGTTCCCAGCAGCACCGGCCACAACCGCCAGTAGGCGGGCACCACCCGCACGTCCCGCAGCCGGTGAGCGGCGACAGCGTGCCAGAGCCGTGCAGTGGCATTCTCCTCAGCCTTCAGAAGCAAGTACTGCAACATGCCACCACGTGGACGGACCTTGAAAACGTGACCCTACGTGAGAGGTCGGACTCAAAAGGCCCCGTGCTGTGCGACTCCACTTACACGTAATGTCCAGAATGGGCAAATCCAGAGAGACCGGAAGTAGATGGGTGGCTGCTGGGGGCCGGGAGCGGGGATGGAGAGCAGCTGCTTAGTGGGTGTGGGCTTTCATTTTGGGGGTGATGAGCATGTTTGGAACCGGAGAGAGGCAGTGGCTGCACAACGTTGTGAACGCACGAAACGCCACTGAATCGTTCCCTTCCAAGCGGTTGATTTTATGCTCTGTGAATTTCGTTTCCACAAAAGAAAACGTTTTAACTACTCAGTGCAAGCGGTCACCCTGGCAATCAGAGTTTCTCTCTTTCCCAGGGTCCCACCATACCGTAGCTCCCCGTGTCCTCCAACCAAGTCACCAGCCAAGGGACATGAAAGGGGAGAAAAACCAAAAACAAGCAGTCTTCAACACGGGGTCATATGGCAGAGGTCTCCAGCAGGAAAAACAAAACCTGTGATTCCGTGACCTCGAGGGGGTACACTGCTAACCCTTTCATCAGTGGAAGAAAAAGCAGTGCCGATATTTCCTCAGATGCTCCAAACCAAACTGCAACAACTCCCCTCGGCCCCCACATTCCTTCTGACAGAGCAGAGACACGAATCTGTTTTCCCTTGACTAGCTTGGATATTATTCTTTTCTTCAAAGGGTCAAAGGCAAATCGGTCACATGCCTGCCTGTAATTTGGCCCAAGGAGAAGGTCTTCCAAAGGCCTCTCCGAGAGTCTGGATGGCCTGGTGCTCCAAGCCTGAGGACGAGAGAAAGAGCTCTGCTGCCTGACCTCCAGTACCTGAAACCCAACAGGGGGCTCAATAAGCACGAGGATGAGTGAACAGATGAGGGGTGCCGCCATACCCTTCCTGATCTCAGGAGAAATGGGCCTCACTTTAAGCCAACTCAATAAAGAAAAATCCACACTTACAACCCAGATGCAAAAGGATTCACTCCAGGATATTTGTAAATAGTGACATTCCTTTGTGTATTTAAGAGGATTCGATTCCCAGACTTTTCCAAAACAGGGGCCTCGTGCAAAGAGAGGGAAGCTCTACACCATGAGCAACACCGAGGCTCGTGCTCATCTTCTCCACCTGCAGAAAATGGAGCCCTTCGCAGCCTACCAGGATGCGCCTTCATCTTTGGCCCAGTGGGATCTCCGCCGGGGGAGGAAGAAGACAATCTACAGAGAATCTGGTCAGGCAAATGCTTGGGGATGAAAAGCAAAAAGCTTTTTAAATACCTCAGCCAGATAGGCAAGGTTAAAAAAAATTAATAAATCCAGGGGCGCCTGGGTGCCTCAGTTGGTTAGGCGACTGCCTTCGGCTCAGGTCATGATCCTGGAGTCCCGGGATCGAGTCCCGCATC